CACCCGTGGTCTGCAGCACGTGATACTGAGTCTATTGACTTCAGCCTTCCATCCTTTCTAAGGTAGGTAAATTGAGGACCCGGATTATGGGGGACTTTGTATAAATATACAAAAGGATGAAGGCTATTGCTTAGCACATTGTAAGCCACCCTGAGTCTCCGGAGAAGGGTGGCATATAAATCAAATTTTTAAAAAAATTGTATGAAAATCCCCCCCCCCCATCAATCATCTATCACATTTTGAGGATTTTTTCAGATTGCAGTTTCACTATCCACATTTAGTATTATGCTAAGGAAAGATTGATCTCCTAGTCCCGTGATGGCGAACCTATGGCACACATGCCAGAGGTGGCATGCAGCGTCCTCTCTGTGGGCATGCAAGCCATCGCCCCAGTTCAGCTCTGCCACGCATGAACAGGCACCTCCCGCCGTCCAGCTGATCTTCGGGTCTTCCGTGCATGTAGGGGAGTGCATGTGGGGGGCATGCGGATGGGGGCACACATGCATGTGGGGGACATGCGCACATTGTATTTTGAGGGGTTGGGCACATGTGCACACATTTGCATGTGCACGCACGCTCTTTGGGAACTCGGTTCAGAAAAGGTTAGCCATCACTGTCCTAGTCAATGACACTCATATTTTCTATGAGTACCATTTTGACTTACACTGTAATATCACAGAGCATTTAATAAACTGAACATTTTAGAAGAAAGTAGTGCAGAAGGATTAAAAGTAGAATTAATGCTGCTTAATCTTGGTGAAAGGCTGAGCTTATTATAGTTCAGGCTTGATTAACTGATTAACAGCTTGGCTCTGTACTAACATTCCTGTCAGTGAAAAAAAAAGATATATCTTGTTAAGGTTTTATCTTGGCAATAAGATGACTAAAAATTATAAATATAATTTCTTTATGGGCATCGTACATATTTTGCAGAAAATGAGTATTAGGCATGCTCGAGGTGGGTTTAAGTTGTGAATCAAAGCAGACATAAAGTATCAATCTTATTGAGCACTCTCAGTTTTCTCCCTCAACCAAAAATCCATGTTATACACAAGGCAAGTGAGCAATTATCCTCCCAAACCTTGGAATAGTCTCTTGCTCAGACCCCAGCCTGTTTTCTTATTTTTATACTAGATACAGCAAAGAAATCAGATTTGCCTTGGGTATTAGTTATTTAGAAAACTATCTTTCAGGAGAAAATACATTATGGCACTATTTTGTAATCCCTGAAGTAGGTGTGCAAAATGTGACTAGACATGCTTAGGTGCTGATGCTAAAAGATTGTGTTTGGATCACAGTTGAGATCTCTCTTTAGTCATATAAAGTTTGAGTAATCCAGCCATAGAAACTTTTGGATGCCTAGGTGAACTTTGTCTATCTTAGTAGTATGGACAACAGCTCAAAATTGAGTTGTTGAAAACAACTGGAGGGCACCAAATTGCCAATTCCATATCCAGGCCAAGGAAAGCAATCTTATATAACATTTGAATAATTATTTCCCCCCGAAGTTATTAATTTTTACTTCCTGAGTCTGATAGCACATATATTATAATTTATGAATGACTTTTTGATTAGTAACTTATTTATTGTAGAGCGTTTATGTAGCATTCCTCGTCAAACTCTACTTCTTGAAACAGTCTTAAAGATGAAGAGCAAGGTACTGTTTCACGAGGTCACTCTATGGCTTCATATTTATATTGGGAGAAGTAGGAATTAGTTTGCAGTCAACAACTCCCTTGATGTGCTCAATTAAATTGGGAGAATCTTAACCCACTCAGAATGAATTTCATACAATCAAGCTCTTTTTTGGGGGGATGGGGGGAGTTTAAAGACTAAATGAATTATGGGAATAGGACCAGTGAGAATGCTTTAGAAATGCATCATAAATCAAATTAAATGTTACTATATTGAAAGAAGATTTATAGATATTGAGCAACAAGCATTGTGAAAGTATTAGCTCTGTGAAACTTAAATTAATTTGCATTTGGTTTATATAACATGCAGTAATGTGGGCAAGGATGCACATATGCAACCAAAATGAATGAATCTTATTAGGAAAATTATTAGATAAATATAAAGAATATAGAATGAATCTTATTAGGAAAATTATTAGATAAATATAAATCTGTTAAATTTCTTTGCAGAGCATACACTTAAGCTACAATGCAAAGAATGTTACATTAAAGTATGAAATGAATATACTGTATTAGCTTTAGAAAATTTCTATAAAAATTGCATATCTTATACTCTATTAACTTGCATAAATGATCAATATAATTTTGGAATTTCCTGTAATTAAAGCTTCCAAATTCTTAAATATAAAGCTTAATTTTCAGGCAAAGTGGCAGAGAGGTTTTAAAAATATTTATGGAAAATAAGGTTTTTAACAGATACAGTTTGAATAAATGAATATAGTTACACCGGATAAATAAGAAGAAAAATGAAGTTCATGTGTACAATTATATTAATTGTGTCAGGGTTTTTTGCCTGAACAGGGGATTGATTAGAAGACCTCCAAGTTCCTTTCCAACTCTTTTTGTTCTTTTTGTTAAGTCTCATGATTCTATTGGCTTCTTATAAATTTTGGCTCTTTGGAGTATGCAGTATTCATGGAAGCAATAATAATAGTGTCAGATTGCATCAAACCTGCATCTAAGACAGTGGTGGGTTGCTACCGGTTCATCCTGGTTCGGGCGAACCAGTAGCAGTGGTGGCGGGAGGCTCCGCCCACCTGGACGTCATCAAATATGCTCTGTGCATGCATGCACAGAAGTGGCGCACATGCGAGCGAATCGGTAGCAAAGGTAAGTGAAACCCACCACTGATCTTAGACTATATAAGTAGCACACTGATTATGGAAGTATAATGTATGGCAGCACAGAATATAAAAACTAGCAATAACTTGAAGATGTAGTGATAAATAGTTGGCACTCACCTGAAATATTTTCAAGTATACTTATGCTCTATAGCTTTCATGCCAGGATATTTGGATTTAGTGCATAGAGTAAGCTTGAGGAGTATGGTGGTGCAGTGGTTAGAATGCAGTATTGCAGATTAATTCAGCTCACTGCCAGGAATTCGGTCCTGACCGGTTCAAGGTTGATTCAGCCTTCCATCCTTCTGTGGTTGGTAAAATGAGGAGCCAGATTGTTGGGGGAAATATGCTGACTCTGTAAACTGCTTATAGAGGGCTGTAAAGTACTATGAAGCAGTACATACAGTAAATCTAAGTCAGACGTGTCAAACATGCAGCTTGCGGGCTGGATCCAGCCCATGATAAGCCAGAGTTGTCCCGCAGTACCATCCCAGAGATGGCGACAGATCAGCCCATGCTGCTCCGGCCCAACCCACCCATCCCACCTAGTTGGCCATGAAAAACAGTCCTCGCCCACCCAAGGGGAAACAAAATCCTGATACATCTACCTAATGATATGGGATTCCATAATGGGATCAAGTTTGACACCCCTAAGTGCTATTCTTACTGCTTATTTCTATTTTTGCTTTTGAAATCATGGCCTCGCCTATTCTTTCATTATTCTGAGTTGCTGCAGCAGGAAGTTGAGTGTATCAAGTTCTGCAACTAGTATTTCATCCTATGTATAATGCTGCATGCACCCAATTCACCTACTCCATCCATATAGTGAATGCACTGCACTGCGCAAGAGAATTACTCTAAATAATTGCTAGTGACTTGCCTTAAATTTCATGTAAAAAGAATATATGCATGGTTTATGGGCTCCTTATATCTACATCTTTCTTACTTGACTGTACATAAACTCTTTTAAGTATTTACTTTACATTTGTACAATCTGAGTCATAAAAGGAAAGAAAGGCATAATGCAGCAACAGTGCTTATTAAAAACCAAGCCTTTGATTGCTCACTGACTATTTCCTGGTGCTTAATAAGATGCTAGAATGTATAAAGTAAACCCAAGTTTTTGTTATGAAGACAATCATTATCTTTTATTCAGTGTCTGAGTAAAGGGTCATTGTTATATTCATAAGTGTGAAAAAAAAGGTATGAAAATAAAAAAGAAGTTATATTTAAAAATTATATTATAGGAAAAATAGTAGCTAATAGAAATAACTGGGGTTGGAAAAGAAGCAGAAATTTAATATTTGTGTTTGCGCTGAATCTTGGCCTTATATTGAAGTCAGGGCACATTGGAGGATGATCCATGATGTTTTATGAGCACTTTTGGGAAGGAGAAACTTTATTTGTTGGAGATTACTTGGCTGATTGCTGTTTAATTCAAAACTGAAATAACCCCCCCCCCCCCCAAGCCTGGTTTATAGAAAATTAAATGTTGAGAAACATTGGATTCTGGATCAGCTATTTTCCAAAAAATGCAAGATTTTTTATATGCAGCTTTGTTTTTTGTATAGAGGAAGAGCTAGTCATAATTATTACAGTAAATGCAGTAAATGCCAATTTAATGGCAAAATACAGTAAATGACAATTTAATGGATTAATTGATAGGAAGGAATGTGTATTGTTGCTCAATATTAAATCTGAAATTGTGTCATTTGAATAATAGTACCATTCTACAATATATATCATTTTGGTCAGTAGTATGAATTTGTAATTACATAGATGAGATAAATATAATGCATTTTAGCAAAGTTAAGTAGATTGACTGGACTATTTTATATACTTGGTTATTTATCAACTCATTTATTTAGCAAATTTATATAGCTGGCCATCTCACAAAGCATGACTTTAGGTAGTATACAGCCCCCATATTTTAAAAACAACAAAATACTAAAACATAATTTTAAAAAAACCAGACAAACATAGCACTTAAAAACCCAGGAAAGCAAGAAAACAACTTGACATCACACAACCATCTTGCCGACTTCCCATGGGCCCCCCAGAGTTGATTAAAAAAAGACTTTTTAAAGACCTTCCAGTAAGCAAGCATAGTCTTCTTCTTAATAAGCAGAAACTGAAAATTGATGCTCTTTAAAAATATTTTTCTTTTTTAAAAAAATTCTATTAGGTACGGAATCAGCACTGGAGTCTTATAATGGAGAGTGTTGTCCCATCAGACAAAGGAAATTATACCTGTATTGTTGAGAATATCCATGGATCCATCAATCACACATATCACCTTGATGTTGTTGGTAAGTAATGTTCAGTGGCTATATTTTTTTAAGAAAGTAATATATATCTTAAAATGATTTACTTTTGGAATCTAATGGTTTTGTTATCTATCTACGGTATCTATCTATCTATCTATCCACCTGTCATTGATTATACACTTTGATACAGTTGTTAATGCATTAGGCTAGAAACTAGAAGATCATAACTTAATCCTGCTTTAGGCGCAAAGCCAGTTGGGTAACTTTGAGATAATCACTTTCTCTCAGCTCTAGGAAGGAGGCAATGGCAAACCACTTCTGAGAAACCTTGCCAAGAAAATTGCAGGGACTTGTTCAGGCAGTCTCCAAGAAATATGTAGGGGTGTGTGGAAGTGTGTATTGCTTAACTAGTTAATTAACTTATTAATTGCTTAACTCAGAGGTCTTCAAACTTGGCAGCTTTAAGATTTGTGGACTTCAAATCCCAGAATTTTCCAGCCAGCATAGAGTTGAAGTCCACAAGTCTTAAAGCTGCCAAGTTTGGGGACCCCTGGCTTAACTGATTTACCAAATTTAGTTGCTTGTACATTCTGTAATGAAGGAAATAGAATATGGGATTCACAATCCTTTCACCTAAGGAGAATCTGTTCCTTTTTGTTTACATGTGGGTTTTGTCCCCCGGCATTTTATTAAGATTTATCATTTTATGTAAACATATTAATTTTATTGAAATATACTTTTTTTCCTGAAAATTACATGAGCCAAACAAAATATCAATTTAATACAGGAAACGTGGTTCTAATTTTTTGTAGGAGATACAACACACTTTTAAGAGTAAACCCATAAAAGATTCTTGGATAAGAAACCAGGTATTGGTTTTGGATTTAGAAGAGTTAATGTTTTAGTACTATAAAATTATGAGTTTAATATGAAAGAGGTTTTAAATTAGGCTGAAATATATCACATGTTTATTAAAGATGCCATAGAAAATTGATGTATTATTTTTGGATCTATTTATAGTATTAAGAAGGATTAATGTTTTCTAAAAATTTAATTCTTAGTAATTTTGAATTTAGAAAATGTGAAGACAAGACTGGAATATAGTTCTTCATAAGTATCTAGATAGAAGTAAAATATAAAAATAGTAATGAGAACACTTTGGAAATAGTGGAATTGTTTAACTCCATCATTTTAATTAACACTATTTTAATTAAAAGTGGCTTACTGATGCTTGGAAAACAAGAAATCAATCATTTAAAAGCTAGATATAATTCTGGGCTAAATTAAAAACCAACTGAAAAATAAGCACTTTTCCGACATCATTTCAGCACAGTTAATCCACAATAAGACTAATAAATGGGCCATACCCACTTCTGTCATAGCTCTATAATTCACTGTTCTCACTTTATCATCTTGTAAACTGGAATTCTTATTTCTTAAAATTGTTATGTAGCCTTAGCTGAATTAAATATAACATTTTAAAAAGAATTACAATTACCAAATTATTTTCTAATTCAAGTGGCTATTTTGGGGGAAAGATGCATTCTTTCATTCAGATCACTCGGGAGCTTTTATGTAAATTGTAAAATAAACTAAGCAATTCCCAACAAATACCAAAAGTCCGTCCCCCCCCCCAGTAATTTCTTTATAAAGGAAAGCAGAATTAAGCACACACAGAGAGAGACACAGACACATACACCCCACCCCCATAAGCATCATGACCTTGTGGCTACTGTTGAGTACAGAGATTCTAGGTGTTGTAAGACGTCAGGGCCTGATCTCCACTTCTCTCACTTTCTTCCTGGTTCTACTTCTTTTAAATGCAGTCCTGAAACCCACACCCTGGAACTGAAAGTCTTTTTTTCCTGTTTTATACTTGTGTTGCATCTTGTGGCCTTCATGTCTTTCATACACATGAGCACAATTGAGTTACTTGTTTTCCAATCTGTCCCCTTTGTAACTTCCCTTTTTCTGTGCTCCAGCGGTGCTTCTCTTTTGTAGCGGCCTTGCTTCTCAGGCTGTGTGCCATGGATGCAGTTCCTTGTTCTTTCAGGTTGGCTGCATCTTGCAACAACATCTCCATATGGCACCATGGCCAGATTACTTCAGCCTAGCAGTAGGCACCATGGTCTGTGAATCCTGGCCTACAATAACATTTTCAAATTGACTATTGTGAAACTTTTACTCTGGGAGATATTTAGAAATTACTTCATGATGAGAATCAGAATAATAAATTCTGGTCACGACTGATTCTATACCTTGTTTATATTTTTCTGACTTTATTATGTCTTATTTTTTTCTACACATGTGTATAGAAAATAGCAATACAAAACACTATACATATAAACCTAATTAATACCTTTCCTCCTAGTCTAGCCCAATCTTTTCCTCTCAGTTGCCAGATTTTTCTTCTTAGTTACGTAACATTTCAGGCCATTTAGGTCACAAATATCTGCCAATCTGCTTTCCTTGACATATTCCTACTGTGATTCCAAAACTGTGGATATGAAGCACAATTAGCATTAGACATATATACGGTGGATATTTTACTAATATTTCTCTGCCAGAATGCAAAATTCATTTTAATCAATTTGCTTATTCTGGAAGGAGGTCCAGATAAGCATTCCAAGGAAGTATAGGGTTTTGTAGAGATTTTAATCCTTTTTTTCCTTAGTTTTTTTAAAAAATTAAGATAACTTGATGACTAAATCATTATTGTTTGAGCACTTGTTTAACAATGTTTATTGAAGGTGCAGTTCCAATGGCTGCCAGGAATTATGGTAAATGGCATTCCATGTGACACTGCCCTGAACAGACCAGCTGTTGAGAAAGCACAGCTAAATTGTGTTCACTGGCCAGGTGGTAGGTGTGTCCCCAATAACAAGTGGAGAAGGAAACACATGGAGTATATACAACTGTTTCCAAAGAATAGTTTTCCTCTTTGTGGGAACACTTTAAAAAGAGTGTGGGTATATATATGAAAGGAATAAAACTATTTCTAAGGCTGTTACAGACTATCCTGTTTTACTTGTTAAAAGTTTTCACTTATTTAGTGTAACCCGGGTAAATATTTATGTGAAGCCCCTTGTCTCTTCTCGGTCTTTGAGATTTTTCAATGCCTTGCTTTTAAGAATATTTGGCCTTTTATTTTTCTTGGCAAAAAAATATCAGTGAATCGAGTGAATGAATGGAATGGTAATGAGAGTGATGTCATTTATTGCTATGTCTGCTACTTTAATAGAAAATCATAAAAGTAAACAGTAAAGCCAAGATTTTCCATCATGATTACTGGTCGCTATGTGTCAAGCTGGCATCATGAGCTCTGTGTTGTTGCTCTTGTCCCTTCCTCTTCCTCTCTCTATCCAGAAGTTGACTTATTTTCATTTGCAAACTGTTGTGTCCACAGAACTGCCGAAGGAGCGTAGAGTGTGCTGACGAAACACGATCTGATTGGTTTATTGCCGCATCCCTTCAGGCGGGAAAATTAAGGCTTACTATTGGTTGTTGTTTTTGACATCTCAGTATATAAGAGCTGTCAACTCTTTCTAATATAGATTTTTTGTTCAGGAGTTGCTTTTGCTGTTAATAAACAGTTCGTGTTACAAGTTGTCTCCTCATTCATGCAGACTCTCACTGAGTATATGAGTGCACTGAGCTCTGTGTTGTTGTTCTTGTCCCTTCCTCTTCCTCTCTCTATCCAGAAGTTGACTTATTTTCATTTGCAAACCTTGGGTGTTTTTTGAAGGCTAGGGCCCAACTTACTCGATAGGGTTGTCGTTGTGGGGAAAACAGCACAAGAAAGGAGTATGAGTTATTTATAGAAATAATAAAGGAGGGATATAAATAAGTAAATAAGTAAATGCTGGTACTTGCCGCTCTCCCATCATCCCGTGCGCTCTCACAGAGTGGGCCTCCTCAGGGTGCCGTCGGCCAAACAATGTCGGCTGATGGCCCCCAGGGGGAGAACGTTCTCTGTGGGAGCTCCAACCCTCTGGAATGGATTGCCCACCGAGCTCAGGACAGCCCCCGACCTCCTTTCCTTCCATCGCGAGCTGAAGACGTGGCTCTTTCGTCAACTCAACTGATCCGTTTTGGGTGTACATTGTTATAATTTTAAATTGTTTTAATTGGGCTGTTGATTTTAATTTTATTGTGATTTGTATTGGAAATTGTCATTTTTGTAAGCGGCCCTGAGTCCCTTGGCAGAAAGGCGGCATAGAAATCGCAATAATAAATAAATAAAATAAAATAAATAAATAAATAATGTGGGCACTGGAACATAGTTCCTCTCTACCCTACAATTTCTAGCCTGCAAAACTATAGACATATCACTTTTTAATTAGTTTCAATTATATCAATCTTTTTTAATCTTGGCCACTTTAAGACATATGGACAACTCCCAGAATTCCACAGGTAACCGATTCTGTTCCACTACCAATACCAGGAACCAATGTGCATCTATCCATGCTCTCCTAGAGTATTACTATTGCCTAATCCTGAACATACTTTTTACTTTTCTTTTTTCCAGACCTGTCTTATGATCCATGCTAGCTGCTTAAATTTATGTATTATACATACCATAACACTCTGGAATGATGTTATGGTTATGAACATTGTAAAAAAATCAGGCATTACCTGCTAAACTAACATGGTAATATCAGAATCTTTTACTCAGATATTTTCAGTGTATAGAGTTACACTGAAATTAGGTTTTTAAGCCATCAAATATAATTTTACAAACCTAACATTCTGTAATGTCTAGATATTTTTCCTTCCCAGTATACAGGGAAGTATACAGGCCTTCCTTCTGTTATCCCACCAGTGTGTATACTATTAACTAAATTCAATCCAGACTGACATAGATATAAAATTTAGTGTTACAAAAATTAACTAAACACATTTGTATATGGTAGTTGGTAATAGATTCAGGAAAAACTGTGTAGAGGTTTGCTGGGTGAATTTTCCATCATGTATACTACACAACCAACAATATAATTATGGGTTGCTGTGTGGTGATTATATATTACATTGGCCTAGTGTCA